ACGAGAACAATCAACCACGCTGGACGAAATAAAGGGTTCGATTCGATATTCCAAACACCTGAAGAAGGCCAGAGAGTACAACGACCGAAACGTCATGAATATGGCAATGAAGATGAGGATAGCAGTGTGAATAATATAAATAATGTAAGTGTTCTATTTCTCTTTCTTTAATTTTTTTACTGAAACCAAGTAGCGTCTTTGATATGTCTTTTGTTTAAAACGGAATTGTCCGTTATTTATTAGGTATTACCAGGAGACGTTAAACACTTTCTTTTCTTCATTTTCATTGAAACCAAGTACAGTCTCTGACTTTTGTCTTAGCACGCGAGTAAAACGCGTGGTAGTCCATTATTTATGAGGTATTGGCAGGGTGTAATGGTCGTGCGAACCAAGGAAGAGAGGGACAAGCACAATTATTGTATGAAAATAATTGGATTGTAATTTAGAAATGGGACCATTATGGTGGAGTAATGGATAGCGGCTCGGATTGAGGAATAGGAGAGCCTAGTTCGAATTCCAATCGAATCCATTACATTCACTTATGTGCTAATACCATCTTCTTCACTATCCACGGTTATAGGTAAATAGCAGGACAACTGGTCTACCGCAGAAAGAAATGGCAACCTACTGCGGGAAAAATCTGCCTCGTCAGTCATGTATCGAAAGATACATAATCGCCTAAGCGTGTATAACTGACTGACTGAAGTGCTAATACCCTTGGGAAAGGTATAAATCCTGTTCTTCTTCCTTATAGCAAGACAAACCGGATTCTATAGCCTTGGATGGCAAATGGTCTAGCGTAAAAAAAAAATGGCAACCTACTTCGGAAAAAAATCTGCCTTGTCAGTCATGTGTCGAAAGAAACATGATCGCCTAAGCGTGTATCACGCATGGCATATTACTGACTGACCATTACTACCCCCGAACATAAGAATATTTCGAAAAATATTGGCTTTGCATGCAGTAATTTGAGTTCTTTAGTTCGGTCGTATAGATGTTTAGTCCCCTTATTTTTTCTGGTTTCTGCTATTTAGATGGGCCTCAATTATTTTTTCCTAAAGACCAAAGATATTCTTTCCTCATTCATTCTTTACAATTTCACTCCCTTTTTTTTCCGTGTGATTTTCAAGTCCATCGAAGCATTTCTAGTAATCTTTCACAGTCAAACCCTCTTTTATTCGCCCTTATTTCGATTCCTGCCTATTTCTAACCTTGCGAGACATACTTTCCTTTTCGACTGACGTCACTGAAGCTTTTAATTTTTTTTTTTTTTGATATATTATCGGCGCGGTGAGTGGGTTTCATGTGTGCAGTTCAAATTCAATCCGAGGCCGTTACGCAAAACCACCTTTGGAAAGTGATTAACAGAGCTAAGAATCGAAAGAGGAATTTATCAGGGCGATTGGATGTTTCCATTATGACCTTCCATAGCTAAGTTTACCTTGAATCTAATCTTGAAATACTGTAGACAGTTATGACTCTCCAAGTCAAGGAGAAACCTCACCTCTTCCTTATATAATCTATTTCTTAATATATCAACCTTTTACACTCTCCTAAATAATATAAGCCCAAAGTCTATATGAGATGTAAAGTGACCTCTCCCTTGTTCTCTCTAAAAAAAAGTCTTGAAATTACTTATGTGTGTGTGTGTGTGTGTGCGTGTGCTGCAGTGCAGGAGAATGTTGCCGAAAATTCAGACGCCTGTATTCATCATCGTTTCCAACTGCACTCTCGGTTTGTCGATTAGGTTGACACAAAAAATCGCGAAGTGAGCAAAATGGATTTCTGTTTGAACGTCCACTTTCGTAATAGGCTTCGATAACTTTTTTTAACACGTTGTTTGATTGTTAATCTTTCCATGGTTGAAATCGCCAAAGACTTAAGTTGTTAAATCTAAAAGAAAAAAATATCATTAGACGCTTATACTTAATTCACATTTAAAATCGGTCTAAGTTATTGGAACACCGTATATGAGTTGCAACCGGAGTTATTCAATCTTATCAAGACAATTCTAACTAGAAGACCAACCAGAATCTATTATCAGTGGACATAATCCTAACAACTTCAGATGACATATTACCCGCCCGGGTTAATCTTACATATTTATAGACCTTACTTTTGAGATGACACCAAAGGAAAAAATCTAAAGGCGTCAAGTTGCACGATTGTGGTGGCCAACTGACTTCGTTGTTTCGAGAGATGATGCAAACCTGGGAAATTCTGTTTGAAATTCCATTTTTGTAATAGGCTTCGATAACTTTAACACGTTATTTGATTGTTAATCTTTCCATGGTTGAAATTGTCAAAGACTTAAGATGTTAAATCTGAATGAAAAAGAAAAAAAAAATCATTCATCGCTTAAACTTAATTCACATTGAAAATCGGCCCAAGTTTATTAGAATACTCTTGGAAAAATCAAACAACGAGTTAAAGTTTCAAGAGTGCAATAGAAAAAATCGTTCGTAAATTCAAACAAACTGGGTCGGTGTAAAATGTGAAA